TTGGGGGGGGGGGGGTGTTGCTTGAATCCCATCCATGGGAATGAGTCTATGACGGTGCATATTCAAAGAAGTTTTGAGTTGCAGAACTGTAAATTAAAGAGATGGATACTTATTGACACAAAGAATACTAGACTCAGGTTTTTCTTAATATTCGGTGTAGTTTGTTCTGCGATCGTTTCTTCATGCTTTCATGATGATGATATCTTAAATAGTCAAGTCATACATTTTCTGCTTTTATCTATTATTTAGTCAGTTATTTATACTGGATTATTGTATTGATGTTGCTAAGATGGTGAGATTTTAGGTGAAAGGGCCTTCTGGAGAACAGATTCATGATCTTCGTGACAAAATAAGCGAGAAGTCCGAGTTTGTAGCTCATCATGAAGGAATTTACCGTTTCTGTTTCACTAACAAGTCGCCCTATCATGAAACCGTTGACTTTGATCTACATGCTGCTCACTTTGTATACCATGATGAGCATGCAAAAGATGGTGCGCGTGCTACTTTGCTTTATCTTGGTTTCGACTTCTTATACTTATATTAGATATTTTACTTGATTTGTTTGAGACTTGCAGAGCATTTCAAGCCTTTGTTTGAGCACATCGGAAAGCTAGAAGAAGCTTTATACAACATTCAGTTTGAGCAGCACTGGCTAGAGGCCCAGACAGACCGTCAGGCAATAGGTATTGATATAGTAATGTTTACTCTTTTTTCTTGTGGTTTCTTACATGAAGCAACTTCAACTGCATCAGTACCAATTTGTGATAGAATTCAGTTACCTTTTCCCTTTAGCACGCCTTTAGAATGGGGTAATTTTTCCCTTTCAATTTTCCTCCTTTGGGATGTCTGTCTTGTTTTGAGAGTTTAGTATATCAAAATTAAACACTAGTCTTGGAAATCCATGATTCATGCCTGTCACCCACCTAGAATTAATTTGCAGTAAATGGTAATCAGCTGAGCTACATAGAGTTGTTCACTTCTGCTCATCAACGTGGGCATCCAATAATAGTTTGAATATCAAGTTGATGTAAAAGTTAAGCCTATTAACTCAATTCACTTTTGCAGTCGTTCTCTTGGGATTTACATTATATATCTGGAATTTAGTGGTTTAAATATTTCACCTTTGCTGTGACATAGCGGCAGTTGGATTTTCATTGTGTTGTCTCAATGAGGAACAATGCCACAACATGAGAATATCGTTCCTTTCCGTGTATAAATTTCTCATTGGATTGACTCAATGAGACACAACAGGAGAATAATTTTTCTTCCTTTATATTTTATACAACAACATAATATTCCTTAATCCCAAACAAGTTAGGGTCGGCTATATGAATTTTTACTCAATTTAAATTATCTCATGTCAATATTATGCAAATACAAATAAAAAGTACTTCATCCGTCTCAATTTTTGTGTTCTTATTAGTTCGTTCCCAAAAAGAATTACACATTTCCATATTTGAAAAGGATTTAACTTTAAACTTTTTTTTCTTTTTTTGATGAAGGACTTTAGACTTTTTATTTTAACTATTTTACTCTTAATGAAGGGGAGCCTTGGCGTAATTGATTAAGTTGCTGCCATGTGACCAGGAGGTCACGAGTTCAAGCCGTGGAAACAGCCTCTTGCAGAAATGCAGGGTAAGACTGCATACAATAGACCCTTGTTGTCACGTCCCAACCTCGGGAAGCGCGACCGACGCTCAACCGAGTGAACCCGGTCGAGCAAGCCTGTTAAATACTTTCTATCCAACTCACCCATGATCAAGAGAAGACATGATTTCATTAATTAGACAGTAGGAAGATCATATATACAATACTAAATCGTCTCATTGGTTACATCACCTTTAAGTCTCAAAATACACATATTCTTATAGTTTGAGTGGAATATGTGATTAAAACACAACATAACTTGTTTGACCTTTCTAGCACCCATGTACAACCAACATAGTATCTACGGAGCCTCTAAAAGATACAAAAGAGTGTTATGTTAGTGCCAGCAACAAGACCCCGACTATACCTCGAGACATGATAATAATATGAACAAAAGATACAATACGTGACCCCGAGATGAAGTGGGGCTCACCAAGTCTGATGGGAAGAGGATGTACCACTATCGCTGATCAACACTGCCTGCTATGGAACCACCTGCATCCATTTAAAGATGTAGCGCCCCCGGCAAAAGGGACGTTAGTACTGTCTAATAGTACTAGTATGTAAAACTAAACACCATCTCAATAGAATGAATAATAATACAAGGGGGAACAATCAAGTATTCAATAAGAGTTTCAAATAATGCTAAAACATCAGTTTAAGGATCACATAAGTTTTCAAGTCAATTTCCATGCTATTAGGTTGGGTGATCTTTAGTGCCGATATACCATGATTCACAATACCACCATATTCTTACATGGAGCCCGATCACGACCCGATCGGCTTGGTCGTCTCATTTGAGACATCAACCATAATGACAATTTCATTATAATTTTCAGCATAGTCACCACCATATGTGCATCATGGCGTCCGATCACAGCTCGATCGGCTAGGTCGTCTCACCCAAGACATTACCTTTTTCAGTCAATCATCTTACCTCATACTTCTTTCATATCCTTTCGATTCATTGGCACCGGTGGCCATAATTATAACGTCATTCTTGGCACTTGGCCGTATTTTATAATTCCCGTTCCCCTTTCCATATTCAAACATCATTATCATTATCAACAACAATAAGACTTCCCATTCAAGACATTAAATTCACATATGAGCAATTTGTGAGTCTTAGGCACATAGATGCTTTTCATACAATTTGGCATAACAACCTTTATTTCGATTTTGACTTGAAGTCTTAACATTTCTAACACATATTCCACATTTTGAACACATCCTCAAATGGCAAGATAACATGATGAAGCATTTAGAATAAATATTGAATATACATCCTTCAACACAAACACATTAGGATTAACCAAATTTATAATGATCAATTTGGGACTTACACCAATTACATGAACACCGTGGGATTCGATTCTAAGAAGAAGGGGGTTTAGCCAACATACCTCAATTGAGCTTCCTTTAAACTCTAAAACGTTCCGGAATTCTTAGCAACTTCGATCTATTTTAGAAATATAACAAGTTGGACCAAAATTAGGAAGATGGTCATGATTCTAGCTCATTTAAGTACATTATCAAACACTAGGTGTACATTAATATTTTTAAGACCCTTTTGTGAAAGATTCCATCATTCCCCAACCCATTCTCTACCATTTTTAGCTCACAACCTTCCCACATTCTTTGATAACACATGCATGCAATATAACAACTCCGATACCCAAGAATTGTCTTTCTAATTATTCCCTTTTTAGTAGATTTTCGAAATTAAGAGCTAGGGCATAGATTCTTACCTTTAAGATGAGGACTTTCTTTGTTAATCCTCAATGATTGAGCAAGAATTGTTGGATATTAGGTTGAATGTTACTTCCCCACTCTAAGAACTCTTTCTCACTCTAAAAATATCAGAAATATGCTCAAAAATGGACTATGGCATATGTTTTAACAAAATAGGGTCGGGTTTAAAAACCCAAAAAATAAAGCTCCGGAACAGGGTATGCGGTCTGCAGAATAGGCCGCATAATTGCCCTCCAGAACTAGGCCTGTTCATTTGAATCGGATATCCGAAATCCGAACCGATCCGTTCAATTTTGGATTTCGGATTGGATCGGATTTCGAATTGTGTTTATTAAAATTTCGGATTTCGGATCGGATTCGGATCGGTATAATTTTAATATAATCCGATCCGAAATCCGAAATTATTAGGGCATGTATAAATTCTAAACTTTAATTCGGATAATTAATACTTCCTTTACATTTTCCTCCAAGTTATTACCTTTACAATTGATGGATTTAGCTCTATTGGCACCATAGTACTCTCATAATTGTATAAACATGAATTTTTCTTATTGTATTGCCTCTTTTCCAAAGAAAATATACATATGAGTTTGCAACTTTGAGGCATAATAATCCGATCCGAAATCCGAAAATCCGATCCGATATTAATTCGGATCGGATTCGGATTGCATTTTCTAGAATCCGAAATCCGAAAATCCGATCCGAAATGTGCTAAATCCGATCCGATCCATGCACAGCCCTATCCAGAATTGGACAAATCTGACTCGGTCTGCGGTCATTATGCGGCCCGCAGACCTGTTCTGCGGTCGCATAATGCGCCATAGAACCTCCCTCCGAAAAATCTCAAAGCTGGATATGCGATCAGAGTGCGGCCCGCGAAATGGTTTTGTGGTCACATAATGGGCCGCGAATGACATCAAAAATGGCCCAAAAGACTGTCTCACTCTGCGACCATTATGCGGTCCGCAGAGTGATTCTGCGGCCGCATAGTGGGCCGCAGAAGTGCATTTCTTCTGCCCAAATTTTTCCTTTACTTTTCAGTGCATTGTTCAACCCAAAAAGTCCGAGCCGTGGCTCGCAAGCTCGCCGCGAAGAATTTATACAATCCTCAAACACGTAAGCCCAGTTCAGTACCACGAAACATTATTTTTCCTTTGCGAAATCTTACGGGGCCTTACACTTGTGGTCCAGGTTGCCCTTTTCATTTTACTGAACCGGGTTGCCCTTTTCATTTCTCTTAATGAAAATTTTTTATAGCCACACAAAAGCTTTTACTATTTAAGCTTTTAAGACCACAAGTTTCAGAAGTTTTATTTTTTCTTATACTTTGTGTCGAGTCAAACTACGTCATATCAATTGAAATGGAGGGAGTATTAGAAGTTTAGTATATCTTCCAAACATACAAACCTCTGAAAGGTTAATACCTATAGTAAAAGTGCTAATGACTAAACCACTCCTTAAAGCATAATACCTATAGTAAAAGTGCTAATGACTAAAACATATTTCTTACTAATATGTATCGTCTATATAGATATTTTTCTTTCGTTGTGTTTTATCTTTTGCTTAATCTGCAGGGATCCCTAGAAATCGTATCTCCTTCGAGACAACTGCCTTCCATACAATTTTAGATCTACCTCATCCTCTTTGAATACCTTCACTAACCATGGTGACACACCTACAAACGGGTGCATCTGAAGGTCGACTCAGGACATGATCAAACCATCTCAAACAACGTTCCCTCACTTTATCCTCGTGTGCTACTTTAACTTTCTTCCAAATGTAAATCATTTCTAATTATCTAATCTTGTATGACCAGACATCTATCTTAGAGTCCGCCAGTATACTACGTATGTTTTTACTTTTTGCATCTCAAACTTAGACTTCATCATATGAAGTTGTCTCCCCAGATTAGCTGCAGTCATGAAAGTGTGCATGGTCTCACAGATGTAATTCCTACTAATGCAGTGAATGAAGGAATGAGCAAAAGAGCCGTCTACAAAGCTCTGTTCGAGTCTTCAGCTCTTATTTGTGTTAGTTTTCTGCAAGTATTCCTCCTCAAGAATTTGTTCGAAAGAAAGCTGGGGCAGTCCAGAGTTTAGCTTTTGGCACAGGGATGATGATATTCTTCTGCCAAACCTTGTAAACTTTAGATGTATTAATTTTTTGTGCCTTTTTCTGAAGGCAGATCCCACAGAAACTAGAATCACAGATGTTTTATTCATAAATTATGTTATTTCAGTACTACATTCTTTCAGGATTTAGTGAGATTTTCCTAACAACATGCGTGCGGTTTCTAATCTTACTCCAAAATTACAGATCCTTAGGTTGTTAAAAGTTTTCTAAAATCCTGTTATTTGGTAGTTTAACAGATGTCAGCAATTATATAGCAATTTTACACATACAACTCCAAATGGCTGCATAATGCAAGTTAGTCGTGAATACGCAATAAGTTGGTAAGCTTGGGACCAGAAAAATCTATGCAAACAAGATATGATTGTGATGAAATTTTCAGAATAATAATAGTTGAGATGTGCTCTACTAACCACACGTATATGAAAGCAATCGAAAACTTGTCTGCTAAATGTAAAATACAAAATACATCATATAGGTACAACACAAAATACAAGTTTACAAGACAAAAACGACTTGAGCAGTTCCTCTGTCTCCAGCGCCAACACAAAGGGAGTTCTGGAGTTCGTTATGAATATGAATCCAATATTCGACGTGGGCAGATAGATAACCTTGTCAGGATTCTGCATGGGGGCTTTGCATGCAGCAAAACCATTTTTTCTGCAAAATAAAACATAACGTGAGATCCTAAAAGATAACAGGAATGTTTCAGAGGTTCACCAGAGAAATGTTAGTGTCCGTTCAAACAACATGACAACCCAGTTGTTGGGTAAGTTAACCTAACATTAAGATCCACAGTCATAACTAGCCACAAAGATAAATTTCAAAGAGAGGACAAACAAAAATAACAACAGCAACAACATGACAACAGGCGACCAAGTCTTCCCAACTTTCACCATCATGCAGCATGTCAGGAGAAAAGATACGGAAGAAAATAAAAAGATAGTATATTCTAAAATAAAATTGCGTGTACCTTTCTCCTTTTTTCCAATACCTTCAACAGAATAGGGGATTTGCACAATTTGTAGTCATGTTTTTTGTCACACTGGCTCAAGCATTTATAAAATCTTTGACTTACAATAACAACAACAACAAACCCAGTGGAATCCCACGCGTCATAAGTGGAGTTTGGGAGGGTAGTGTGTAAGCAGATCTTACCGAACATGTTGGGATTAAAGGGGTAATATCACTTGCTTCACCCCCCCCAAACCCAAAAAAAAAAAAAAAAAAA